ATTGGCTGGGATGGGGGCGCTGACTGGGATGGGGGACAGCAGCTGGTTCAGCCCCTATTTGACAAGGACAGCAGTGTGTGGGATGGATGGCGTGATGGCTGTGCTGAACCCCACAACACCCTCTGACCCCACAGGCACCAGGTGCTACGCATTGTCCCCAGCAGCGATGCCGAGTTGCAGAAGGTGCAGGAGCTGCAGGAGCTGGAGCACCTGCAGGTATGGGATAGGAGAGAGGGGGAGCTTTTAGGGACCTCTTCCCAGTCTTCTACTTTGCACCCCTGAGCTACGGTGCAGAGCAGGGATGTCCCATTGCTGGGGTTGGGGGAGGACCGTGTCCCACAGTGGGGAAAGGAGTGATGATGTCTCATTTGGGGAGATCCACTGTGAGATAAGGGGTATGATGTCCCATAGTGGGATGAAAGGGGGATGATTGTCCTTAGTGGACTTGAGAGGAGATGATGTTCCATAGTAGGGTATGAGGAATGATGTCTCGTAGAGGAGCAGCTGGTGGGACGATTCCCTATTTCTAGAGAGGATGATGTCCCATGGTGGGGTAGGAAGATGATGTCCCATAGTGTAGTAGAGGTGGAGAAGATAACCCATAGTGTGCTACGTAGAGAAAAACAGAAGGGGGAGGCGGAGGCACAGTCTAAGGCAGGATCTGACCCTCATCCCATTTTCTCCCCAATCCAGCTGGATTTCTGGCTTTCACCCCGTGGCCTTGGGAACCCGATTGACATCCGCGTGCCCTTCCGCAGCCTGCAGCCCGTCAAAGCCCACCTGGAGGCCAGCGGTGTCCCCTACTCCATCATGATTGAGGACGTGCAGGTCGGTGGTGCTGGTGTGAGTGGTGGGTGGGAGTCACGGGCTGGTGAGGGACGAGGTTTCATCTTGCCCCACATCCCACAGGCGCTGGTGGACCTTGAACAGATGCAGATGCTTCGTCGCCGCCGTTTCGTGCCATTCTCCACCAGTACCTTCGATTACACCAGCTATCACACCCTGGACGAGGTGATATTCTGCATGGGGGAAGCTCAAGATTTGGGGCACTTTGGGGGGAAAAAAACCCCACATTTTGGAATTGCTTTTGCAAAGGGGTTTGTTCTAAATTAAGGAATTAATGAGCCATTCATAGAGTCATAGATTCATTAAGGTTAGAAAAGACATTTAAGATCATCCAGTCCAACCATCAATCAATCAGCACCATGCCCCCTAAACCATGTCCTTAAATAAAATCATAGAACAGTTAAAGTTGGGAAAGACCTCTCAGATCACCAAGTCCAACCATCCACCTACCACCAATAGTGCCCACTAAACTGTGTCCCCAAGAACCACGCCTACTAATTCATCTACACATTCATGATCCCCTACGTCCCTCTCCCAAAACCAGATCTATGCCTTCATGGACCTACTGGTGGCTGAAAACCCAAACCTGGTCAGCAAGCTGGAGATTGGCCACACAACAGAGAACCGCCCCATCTATGTGTTGAAGGTATGGGATTTGGGGCCTTTGGAGCGATCAAGTTCATGAGTTGGTCCTCCTGCGGTCCCAATTGCCCCATTTTTGCAATTCCAGTTCAGTAAAGGTGGAACGAATCGCCCGGCCATTTGGATTGACACTGGCATCCACTCCCGTGAATGGGTGACACAAGCAAGCGGCGTTTGGTTTGCCAAGAAGGTATGGGCAGATCTTACATCTCCAAAGCCTACAAGGTCCTGTAGACACCTTGAGCACGGTGTGATCACCCCAATGGTGCTCCAGCCAGCCCCAAATCACTATCCTCTCTAGATTGTCGAAGAGCAAGATGAAGGTCTGGCCAACATCCTGGACCAGATGGACATCTTCCTGGAGATTGTCACCAACCCTGACGGCTTTGTTTTCACCCACACCTCGGTACGGTGCTGGCATTCATCTCATCTCTGCTGGTTGGAGCTGGGGAGCTGGATGTGGGCACAGCACAGCCCCCGAGAGCTCAAAGCCTCTCTATCCACATGTCTGTCAGTTAAAAAGGGGACATCCATGACCCATCCGTGTCCCCCAAAATGTTTTTGCTTCTCTGCTTGAGGCTGGAGATGCTCCAGCCCTGGATTCTGGTTGAGTTGGTTCTTCCCTTCCAGAATCGTATGTGGCGCAAGACCAGGTCCAAGCATTCTGGATCTCTCTGTGTTGGCGTTGACCCCAACCGCAACTGGGACGCAGGATTTGGAGGTCAGAACTCTCCCTTTCACCTGACAGATTGTGTTCTGCCCTCCAGGTGAAGGCTCTGATGTTTCTGGCTCAGAGAGATCCACTGGCGGCCCCAGGAAAGGGATGGGCTTTGGGTTCAAGGCATGGATTTGCATTCCATCAGGTCTTTTGTGTCATCAGAAAAGAGATGGGCTTTGTGGTGAATTTGGGTTCCATCAGGTCTTTTGTGTCCTCAAGGAAGGGATGGACTTTTGGGCTAAGACGTGGGTTTTGGTTCCATCAGGTCTTTGATGTCCCCTAGTGACCAATATCATAGAGACCACCATTGGAAACCATCACACAATGTTTATGTGGAGCGCTAGAAGCATTCCTCCTTGACCTCTTGTGACTCTCTGAGCCACCTAGATGCCAACAAATGCCATATTTTCACCATTCTCTTCTCCCCAGGCTCTGGGGCCAGCGGAAACTCCTGCTCAGAGACGTACCGTGGGCCCTACGCCAACTCGGAGCCAGAGGTGAAGGCCATCGTGGACTTTGTGAAGGACCATGGGAACATCAAAGCTTTCATCTCCATCCACAGCTACTCCCAGCTTCTGCTCTACCCCTATGGCTACACCACCACTGCCGTGCCTGACAAGGAAGAACTGGTAGGGCCTATTTAGGGGACACTGTGAAATGCCCACACTGCACCCCATGCAAGCAGGAAAGAAGACCCCCCCCCCATAGGGACTCCTTGAGGCCAGCACTACTGAGTGTTGCCTACTGTTTTTTGACAGTAGGATGAGTGTCAAAGCCTTTTTTTTTTTTTTCCTCTCCATTCTACCGTAGACTTTCCCCTACCCCAAATCACATTTGTGTGTCTTTCCCCCAGCACCAGGTCGCAAAGGAAGCTGTGGAAGCTCTGTCCTCTCTGTACGGCACGAATTACAAGTATGGCAGCATCATCACCACCATCTGTAAGTAACGGAGGTTGTTCTCCTCCCAGTGAAACCAAAATCACATGAGGAGGAGTCCTCATGTCCTACCACGAGTCGCAGAGCGAGCAAAGTTCCGCTCTTTCCTCACCAAGATCGAGCAAGCGGAGGAACCATCGACTGGACCTACAATCAAGGCATTAAGTACTCCTTCACCTTCGAGCTCCGGGACACGGGACGCTACGGGTTCCTGCTGCCTGCCAGCCAGATTGTCCCCACTGCCCAGGAGACGTGGAAAGCTCTGGAGGTCATCATGGCACACGCACGGAATCACCTCTACTGAGCAGGATCTGGAGCTGAGTGGTGGTCGAGTTGACTGGGGAGAAGAATGCAATAAATAAGTGAGAAAAAAAAGTTTAAAAAGGATGGTTTGGGTGGTGTTTCCCTCCTTCCAAACACAACAAAGTGATCCAGTTGATAGCCAACATAGTGTGCGTTGACCTATTGAAACTTCCAGACTCTACTGAGTTTATTCTTTCTTTCCAAACAATACCAAGTCAAATGTCAAAAAAAACAAACAAACAAACCAACAAAAAACCCACCAAAACCCAACTATCCACAGAAACTCATCAAGGTGATCGGAGAGTGCCTTTGTTGCCCTTGATTTGAAGGATCTTAAACAGCACAAACTGTTTTCTCCCCCCATTTTGGAAGGTTTTCATGCAGATTAAAGCAGGTTTTCAGCTCCTTCTCGAACCACTGGACAACAAAATCAGGATTTGATTTAAGGCAGCACACACAACCCTCACTCTCATCATTTTCAGCTGGATGCATCTGTAACACCATCTCCTCCTTGTGCTCGTCAGGGTGAAATAATTCCTCTACCCCCACACTGCTGGACCAGGAGGAACATAAATGATCTCCTGGTGCTCTCATGTTCACACTCAGCTTCACTTATTGCCCTAGAAATGGTACTAACCAGCCAACCAAACCAGGCAAGCCACCATCTGAAGCCAGCTGGAGATGGCAGTTGGTTCAATACTTTTATTTCACAGGGACATGGAAGTGGAGGTACCATACAGAACAGAAAGAGGCAGACAGCTCAGGACATGGAGATTGAAATACGCATGGGAGGCAGCCCCATCAAATCCCAGTGTTCATTTCCATGTCCTACCCAAGGTGGATATCCCACTTTCCATCTTCATGCCAATGGACAGAAATAAGACACAGCCCTGCTGTACTTTTTATTTGTGTGTCAATACCTGAGCAGGCCTTGCACTGCACACTTCAGTACATCCTTACACGCTCCCTCTGGAGGTGCAGGCCAGCAGGTGATCAGGATGAGCTTTCCAGTTGCTGGCTGCAGAAACATCACTGCAGTGAGCATTTCTGATGTAAGACTCGGGGCTAAGCTTGGTGCTCCTCCTCCCATATTTGATACTACAACGAGTGGCTGAACAGAGCAGTCCAGAGGCACAAAAGCTGCTCATTACACCTCTTCCTTTCTTTCACAGGGATACAACGTAGGTAAAGCTGGTTGTGATTTCCACACCCTGCCTCTGCTTCGTCATTGATTGAATTTCAGAGTAGCTCAGATACTCCAGCCAGCATTGGCACAGTGCGAGCACTGATGAGATGAAAGCTTTCATGAAATCTCCACATCCTGTTCAGTTACCAGAGATTCACTTTTAGGGTTACTTTCAGGACTCTGATGAAAGGAGAGAAGAAGATATCCCCTCCTTCAGCCACCCTCAAACAAACCCACTCCAAAACACGTTGGGAAGGGTATGCATAGGAATAAACTTCAATCCCTCTGACTCACCTCCAGAAAAACAGAGCCATCTCATAAATCATCCATAATTAAAGACAGCTATCACGCCTCTGCGCCACGCCGGTCGTTATTTCCCAAAACATCTTTATTATAAACACTTAATAAATAAACACAAGAGAGTGACGGAATCCTCTCCACCATTTTGGCAATTTGCTCAATGTCCATCCCTGCCACAAAACACCACGGTTCCTGCTCACAATTTTCTGACCCGTTTCCTTTCACCGTTAGCGCAGAGCCTGCAGCTTTGAGCCGGGCACAGAGGAACGTTTGCTCCAGACACAATTCCTCAGTCTGAGCTGCAGGTCTTACAGATCCATTGCTACTTGGTCACGGGCTTCACTACCAGTTTTCCCCCCTCCCCTGTCCTGAAGGTCACTTCGCCAACGTGACGCTGCTCCTACAAGACGTCACACCAACCCTTCCATCTCCCCAGCCTTATCCAAGCTGCCATTTCATACATCACCACCGCTTTCCACAGCGGATTCCTAAAATGACAAACAGGGCTGCACTGCTCAGCGTTCCCAGAACCTGGACTCTCATTTATTCAGTGGAAGGAGAGACGGCTGCTTATTTCCACGGCCTGTTCTGGAAGCTGCTCCTGCTGAGCACACGGGATCCTGCCGTGCTGGGGAGGCTGGGGCTGCTCCGTGCTGTTGTTGCTTTGGAATCACGTCCTGAAGAGCCACGGCTAAGGCGACCTGAAGGAGAAGGAGTGGAAACACAAGTTGAAGCTGAGGGATGGAGAACGATGACGTACCAATGGTTTGCTGCCCCTTGTTACTGTCCTGACTCTAATCTTATAGACTCTCCAGTAATTCCTGGACAGTTTCAATCAGACTTTTTTTTGTTCTTAAGAACTTGCAAAACCAGCTCACCACCAAGAAAACCTAAAGGCATTCAAACACAGCGGGCAGCACGGTGCATGCCTGCCCCAGCAGAACCAGGATCGTGCAGCCATACAAGATTCCAGTTCTTTGGGAACAGCACAGTTTGGAAATAAACCTCTCCCCTTTCCCAGCCATCTCACTGCAAGAATACAGCAAAGCAGGAGAAAGCTGCGTGGCATCTGTCTTGGATTCTTACTGGCAGTGTCTGAAGGAAGCTGCTCCTCTTCGAGGTAGTACTTAATCTTCTGCAGATCTTCTGCTGAGTACCTCCATTTGCTCTCAGCACGTGCGGGTGGCACTTTGGGAACAGCCTTTCTTCGGGCAGACCCTGGGGGAGCTGCCACCTGGCAGGAGATGGGGAGCGAGCCAGTGACAAGTCCTTCTGGGATCTTCTGTGCAAGCACCTTCAGCCCTGGAGATGTACAGCCCACGTGTTGTTAATGACCACCATCCAACGTGGGAGCAGCGATTTCGCCATCACAGGACAGAATCCAACCATCCCTTTCCCACCCTCCAGCTCACCCAAAACCCACTGAGCCCGCTTGGGTCCTATGGAGCCCATTTGGGATATACTGAGCCCGCTCCCCCCGCTGTCCTGCCCGTCCCCCACTGACCTCCAGACAACATGAACAAGTTCTCAAAGCCCCTCTCACACATGGTGGTGGCAGCCTGGCTGGCGAGCCGTTCGTCGTCGTCGTACAAAATTATAATCTTTCCATGGGCATTTTTCTGATGGGTGGAAGAGCTAAGGGTGTATTTGTCAGTTTGAGGGGACTTAAAAGCATAGAATCATAGACCAAGGTTGGAAGAGAACTCCAAGATGATCCTGTCCAACTGTTGATTGAGACCTAATACGTTTCAGAACGAAGCTGGAGATAAACTCCCTGTGTGATTTCCAACTATTGGGTAGGAAAGCCTTCCCCTCAGTGTTTCTAAATCTGATTTCTCAGCAGCTGAAGCTTGCCAGGCACTGGAAGGGCACAGCCTGATCCCCTCTGTGAGCATATATTTCACCACTGATCCAAAGACTGGTTAGCAACTACCAGTCAGAAACAATTTGTTGACAACCTCCCCTCTCCCCTGCGGCCCTCCCACACGAACAACTTGGGAAATGATCAGCCTAATCCCAGCTAATAATCCTCTTTTTGTCCTCCTGAGAAAAGACAATCCTCATCAAGGTGCTGGGAGGAAGCCAAAGGATTGGATTTGAAGCCCAGTGATCGAGCAACAGTGAGACAGCTGCCCAAGGGATACAACTGTGGCTGCTTGAAGGCAAGTCCAATCCCAGGAAACACCAGATTCACACAGCTCCCACTGAAACCAAGAGGTTTCTGCTTTAAGGAACTAGAACTCAGCATCTGAAGGCTGCAGCAGAGCCCCACCAAGTAATCAAAGCCTGCAGAGAGGAGTTTCCCTCCCGCCCTCCTTGGAATCCCAGGATTTTGGTGGCTAAACATTGTCCTGGTTAGAAGAATTGCTTTTGGAATTGGTTTTAGAAGCCCTTTGCCAACGTGTTATCAGTTGGTTTTTCTCACTGCTGTTGATTCCACACTACATACATAAAGGATACATATTCCAGAATACTGTTTGTATATGGATTCATGGCTCTAGATAGCATTGTAATAGGATAAGAATAAGCTGCAGAGGAAGGAAAGAAAAAAAAGAAATCAGACGGTGGCTGAACACCAACATCACAACCTGCAACACAGCTGACACAGGGTTGTAAGAGTAATAGATACGAAAACCAGATTGGAAACTCGGTGAATAAGGGATTAACATGAGCTCCATTCCCTCATCCCTTGCCAGGGAGGACGGATGTGTGGATGAGTGCAGAGAGCATCCAAGCAAAGCCCCCCAGAACAACACGCAAGCCTTCAGCCGACAGCAGGCTGGGATTCCAGGCTCCTCACCTCCAATTATGTGACACTGGTCGTAAGCATCGCGGTCTCGTACATCCAACAGCAGGAAGGGGCAGTCAGGATAAGGAGTATCCTTTGCCTGGGTGTCTGCTTTCTTATGAGTGTCCTTTTCTATATCCAACTCGCCGACACCGCTGATCAGACTGCAAGAGGAAAGCAGACGTTATGCTGCCAGCGCTCCCTCTGAACACTTCTCTTAACCCACGAGAAGCTGCTTTTTCCCCCCTCCCAGTTTTCCCGACAGCTCATTTATGTTTTAACAGCTGGTAAGAAAACAGTTATCTGCCACGAGAAAAAGGTGGTTTTGTGTTGTTATCAGGCACCTCTGCAGCGTGGACCGATACGATTCTCCACCTCCGGTGCTGTTTATGAACAGGACAGGACTGGGGGGTGTCCCATTGGGGCTCCCTTGGCCATTTGTCCCCGCTGTGAGCTCGGCATCTGAAGCAGCAGAATTGCCATCTGGGAAGAGAGCAGGGCAGAAAGATTAAAGTGTTGCAGGAAATGGATGAGCAGGTTTTGATCCCAGGCTCTATTTTATGAAAGAAAGTGCATCTCAGCAACAGCCACATCCTCATTCTCTTAGAAGGACAATTTACTGAGCCCCACATCAAAAAGGAGAAAGAGCCACATGATTTCTGAAAGCTGAAGATCTCCTTCTCAAGAATTGAGCAGAAATGTAACAGCTCATCTCACTCTTGCTGTTCGTTATATAGAGTTACTGCACCAAAACTTCTCAGTGTGATGACTTTCCTTCTTGAGAGCATTTCTGCTTTAGGAGTTATGCATCCCAGAGCAGAATGGCTGCAGGTGGGGTTATTTTCCCCTGGTTAAGGGCTTGCTATGCCTGCTAGGGAGCAGTTCAAGGTATGACAGCGATCTACAGCTCCATTTCTTTGTGCTCACAATAAATATTGTTACCTTCCAGTCTGTGGATCTCCTCATTCGTCACTTCTAAGGTTTCATCAGACAGAGAAGCAACCTGAACGACCTGCAGGGAACAAAAGCAAGCCACAAAGCCTTGATACACAGCTATCAGTGAAAGACAGCAGGGATCACCTTAAGGAAAAATAATCCTCAAGCCAACGTATCTTTAACCCAGCATACTTTCCACTGGGCTTAGGGATCAAATATAGATGTATATTTGAGAGATATTCGCAGTGCTGGAGCCATTTATTAAACAAAAATTGTACCAAAAAGGAAGAACACTCTGCTTCAGGACAAAGCAGGGAAAGAAGCCATAGAAGAGCCCCATGAGAAAAGAATTACCCATTGTCTGAGGCTATGTAACCACAGGGAAGGCTCTGGGTAAAGCAAGGACAATGAGCAGGAGACAGAAGATCCACACTTACCAATTGGGCAAAAGTTGTCACTTTCAGCCTTTTGAACAGCTCGTCCTTTCTGTACCTGTAATCTTCAACAAAACAGAAGAGAGTCAGTACATCTCAAACCCATTCCCAGCTCTTGCACATTGCAAGGCAAGGCATGGCCTCAGTTACTTTGCAGATCCCTGCAGAACGAGGCTGAGCTACACCATGCTCTAAGCTTTTTTGGAGACACTGAGCTCTAACATTAAATGCCTGCTTCAATCTGACTGTTTGAGATGCTCCAGGTCTTCTCAATAAATCACAGGAACTGGAATTTAACACAAAGTGAGCAACCAACACAAGGGGTGTAAGGCAGGGAACGGAACAGACTGCTGCAGATGCCAGCTCAAAGCAGACATAATTGCCACAGAGAGATGGGGCTAATTAAATCCTAAGCCTGAAGACAAAGCTTAGAGGATGAGAAAAACCCCATTGGAACAACTGGCAAGCAAGCAGAGCGGAGATGATGGAGCTCAGAGGTGACAGGGATGGAAGCCTGAGTGCTTTGAGTGCTCCTCCTTTCCCTTCCTCCTTGCTTGTGAGGCTCTACCCTTCACATCACAGATTCCCATTTGGAAACAAGTAAAATCCTTTGCATTTTTTTTCAGTATCTTCAGTAACTGCTGGGGATACACCTGGGTGGCTTCTCTATGACTAAGAGGAGCTAATAATGCAGCACAGAGCCTTCATCCAATCCAGTTAAGCAGCTCTAAATCCCACCATCTGCTGAACTTCCCTCGATAAGCAGCAGGGAGATGGGGGAGGAGGGCTCCAATCCTCATCCCTGTAACTGCTGTATGAGGAACAACTGCCACGCTCCCCTTATGGGAGCACTCTGTGTGAGATTCCCATCCCATTCCTGCAGCAGCAGGCTGATTCATTGCCAGCAAACAGAAACCAACAGGTTTCAGAAAGTCAAAGAGCTGAAAGAGATGCTCAGAGCTCCTGGAGGATTCTTTGGTTTCAAGCATCAGCTCTGTAACTATGAGACAGCAGCAGTGATTCTCTCTCAGGCAGCACCTGCCCAGCACAAAACCCAGGTCATGAGAAGAACAAGAAGCGATTTTGGTTTAGGAGGCCTAAAAGCAGCAAAGCTTACGGTGTCACACATGTATGTGACAGCAGTGCTTTAGTTGCAACCACTGTGCAAAACTGGAGGCTTTCTGCCAGTCTCAGTTAAGGAATCTTTACCCCAGAATAAGCTTTTATAGCCCAGCTCTTTAGCACCCAACAGTCGCCAGCACAAAGCCAGACCTGGAACAAACAGCTGAACACCTGAAGAAGGACCTCAGCCATCACCAAAGAGCGCAGAAGAAGAGCTGCTCCTGCCCACAAAAGCAATGCTACGTACCTGGTTCTGCCCTGGGAGCTCCGTTTGGATTTTCTGACATTGTGCTTCGGGATGCAAACGCTCTGCGGGGTGTGGAAAAGTTCCTCCAGTGCTGGAGCACAGAGAAGGGAAGAGACGTGGCGTCTCTCCTCAAGTCGCTGCTCCAAAGGACAATGATCACACTCCCAGCTATCTTATTTTTGATTCCACTGCAGGCTCGGGGTATAAAGCCCCACTCTCTCACATTACACAGAGACAGAGAGCTCGCTGTGCTACACATTCAGAGTCAGACCCAAACGGTGTCATCTATCCATGAGAAATCAAGGGAGAGGTGTTTCTGAACTGCCTGGGAACACAAGGTGCCCATTCAGGGTAAACACAATGGGAAAGTTCCTGCCGGAGCCCAGGACCAGAAACAAAAGGATTTCTACCCGAGGAGAAATCAGATTCACAGGAGAGATTGAAAACCAGCAACACTGACACAACAAGATTCTCAGAGCTGATAAAAGCGATGGCAGCGCAGTGTTTGGGACTGAAATCTTAGTCTGTCCACACAGGATTTTGGAAAATAAGGGTGTTTCTCTCTTGGCTTTCCCAGAAGATCTGTGGCAAACAAACAGCAACAAAGGGGCTTTTCGCATGAAGCCAAACACAACGTTTACGTGCCACGTTAGTGACCTCCCTCACACACTGAGCACTGCCACCTCACTGTGCTGCACCAAGAACCAAGACTGAAGATTGAAAATCCTAATTAATCCTCTTTAATTGTGGGGGCTCAGGGGTTTAATAGCTTTGCTGGCTCTGCGTGAAAACAGTGCTGACAATGGCTGGAAAGAAAGCAGGAAAAGCTCAGCTTTATCAGCATGAATTTCAACAAGCTCCTTTTCGGTGGGAGCACAGAGCAAAGGATGGGATCAGCTGTGCTTCCAACAGCCCAAAGCCTCAGTGCTGTTAGGTCCACCCTAAATCACCAATTATAGCCCCAAAAAAGCAGTCAAGAGGCACGAAAACGTGGAAGGTGCTCACAAGAGAAGCAAAGTAGGAGAACCATGGTATTTCTTTATGCTGCTGGTGTGTGTTTATGGAGTTTCTTCCTGTGGGCACTGCCAGAGAGGAAGATCTCTGAGCAAGAAGAGGGCTCAGCACTGCTGCTCAGAGCTCCTTCGGTTTGGAACTAACCCACACAGTTACATCCTGCCCCACTCCAGGTACTCACTTCTTTTGATTTCCTCCAACTTCTCAATGTATTTTGTCAGACTGCATCCTGCAACAACAGCAACCAAACCGCTTGTTACAAATCAGTGCTTTTCATCACGGCTTAAATAACTTTCAGAAGGAAGGGATGGCCATGCTGAAGCTTTGCTGCACCTACAGGCAGGGTGTAAAAAGCCCCTGTAGGGGATGCAGGAGCTCACAGCCAATAGTCACAACTAAAAGAGCTCAGATCTTCGGTGTGCACTCACAGTGCTAAGGAAATCCCTCTGCAGAATGCATTTAACTGCTTTATTTTATGGGATTTTCAGTGTGGGGCACCAAATACAACCTCCACACCAATCCCTCTCTGCTAGAAAGCAGTTCTGGTGAGATTTCAGAGGACAACACCATTGCCTTCAGGAGGCCATCACCTGCAGCTGTGGTTACGCTGTCCTTATCCCCACACTGCCTTGGGATACCACTGCAAACAGGTAAAATCCAATCACTTTAACTGTACAAAAAGCTCAAAAACCCTTCTGAGCAAATAATGACTGTGAATTATACTTTTGTCATATATTAACTTATAGAAGAAAGGCCAACACGTAGCGACTCCAAGCTCAGTAACTTCTATGGGAGTGCACAGATCAGAACCTGACTGACGAATAACAAGGCAACTATCACAAGGATCCAAATTACGACGCGAGATCTGACCCTGCTGCACAGGATTGGGGTAAAGCAGCTGAGATGCTCAGCATAACTATTCCTGTTATTCCCCTCCCCTCTGCTGGGCAGTTTCCAGGCCCGCTCACGGTGCCACTCACCGGTATCGAGGCGGGTTTTGATGTGTTGGTACCGGGGGTTCTGAGGGATGCGCCTGGTTAAGTACTGTGGGATGAGAGGGGAGGAATCAACGCAGGAAAGGGGAAACGATGGGGACACGGGGACGGCTCTAAGAGCACAAAGAGCAGAGAACAGCCCCGCAACGCCCTCTGACTGTCGGCAAGCCAGGCTCGCAAAAGGGCACCAAAGCACCAAAAGGGCTCCCAAGCCCAACTTCACCCCTCCTCACCCCATAACCCCCCCCCCCCCAGCCCTACATCACACCCCCATACTCCAAGCACACCCCCAAATCCTAATTATTCCCCACACAGAACCTCTCCTCTC